CAATCAACCCAATGCTGATAATCTAGAAGCTGATGATGATCCATTTATCATTCTAGTTGCAACTAATAATTGAAGCAAATCTTCTTCAGAGATCGTTGCAGTGCCTATTAGTTGCATTCCTCCCTCTACTTCAAACAATAATCAATTAGTGAATGAAATGCCTTCAGCATCTGAACCTCTACCAGTCACTGAATCTCTCACTGAGGCTCCTTTAGCAATTCTACCCATTGCTGAAGAATCTACAGCCGAAGCCTCATCTTCTGTTCTTGAACATCATTGCTCAGATGACAATCCTCTACCAGCTAAGCGATGGACAAAAGACCATCCAATTTATTAAATTCTTGGTTATCCAAGTGCAGGTATTCAGACACGACGTGGTCTAGGTAATATTTGTCTCTTTGTCAACTTCCTTTCTGTAGTTGAACCCAAGAAAATCAATGATGCTATCTCAGACCTTAGCTGGGTCATTGCCATGCAATAGGAGCTCATTGAGTTTGATAGAAACAAAGTCTGGTACCTTGTATCACGTCCCCCTGACAAAACTGTGATAGGCACCAAATGAGTTTATCGCAATAAGTTAGATGAACAAGGTGTGGTAACCCGTAACAAGGCTCGTCTTGTTGCTCAGGATTATAGACAAGAAGAAGGAATCGATTATGACGAAACCTTCGCACCAGTGGCTAGACTTGAAGATATTCGACTCTTCCTAGCCTTTGCTATGCATAAAGATTTTAGAGTCTACTAAATGGATGTAAAGAGTGCTTTCCTTAATGGAAAAATCCAAGTGGAAGTTTATGTTGAACAACCTATAGGGTTTCTTGACCCTAAGTATCCAAAGCATGTTTATCGATTGGATAAAGCTCTTTACGGGTTAAAACAGGCCCCTCGTGCCTGGTATGATACCCTCTCCTCATTTATCATCTCTGAGATATTTGTCCGTGGAAAGCTTGACCAGACCTTATTTCTTAGGAAAGTTAAAGGTAATATCATTCTAGTCTAAATTTATGTTGACGATATTATATTTCGTTCCACTAATCCATCTTTGTGTTTTTGGTTTGCTGATTGCATGAAGAAAGAATATCAGATGAGTATGATAGGAGAACTAACCTATTTTCTAGGTCTCCAGATCAAGTAATCAGATAAAGGTTTCTTTATCAACCAAAGTAAGTATGTTAGAGATAATGCTGAAAAGGTTTGATCTATCCAACAGCACATCTATGAAAACTCCAATGGCTCATCCTCTCTCTAAACAGGGATCCAAATGGAAAGCCTGTAAATGTTATTGTTTATAGAGGAATGATCGTCTCTCTGTTGTATCTCATAGCAAGTCGACTAGATATCATGCATTCTACTTGTCTTTGTGCACGATATCCATCTGAACCTAAGGAATCCCATCTGATTGCTGTAAAATGCATATTCAGATACATGAAAGGAACTACCAACTTGGGTCTCTATTACTCTAAGAGTTCAGGTTTTGACCTAATAGGTTATTCGGATAGTGATTTTGCAGGATGCAAAATTGATAGGAAAAACACCACTAGAGGTTGTCAGCTTCTTGGTGGAAAGTTGGTAAGTTGGAAAAGTAAAAACCAAAATTCAGTGTCCACATCAACTACTGAAGCTGAATATGTTGCCGCTCGAAGCTGTTGTGCCCAAGTCCTTTGGATGAAAACCAGCTCAATGATTATGATCTTCAGTTTTCCAAAGTTCCTATCTATTGCGATAGCAACAGTGCTATTGCCATTGCAAACAATCATGTTATTCACTTCAAGTCCAAACATATTGAGATCCGATATCATTTTATCAAAGATCATGTTATGAATGGTAATATTGAACTTCACTTTATTCGAACTGACTACCAACTCACTGACCTTTTTACAAAGCCTCTCAATGAGACAAGATTCAACATCTTGATTAGCGAACCTAGAATGCTAAACGCTGAGGATTAGTTTCCTTCAGCTATAAGCATTACTCAGTAAGTGAAATGATTTAGTGTTCTTATTCTATCACTAAACTCTTGAGTAAATATATCTTCTCTCTCTAAGGTATGTATACTTATTCTCTCCCTCTCTTAAAAACATTAAAACTATCACTCAATCTTTTCATCTTCAGTGATCAAAATGTTTTAAAAGATTGTTTCAGTGATTCCTTCTATCGCTGAACTTTTTAAAGCAAGTATATCTCTCTACGATATACTTATCTTATCTTAAAACAAAAATGATCACTGAACCTTTCCTTATTCAGTGATTCAAATGTTTTAAAAGATTGTTTCAATGTTTCTTTCATCACTAAGCCATTTATGGAAATATCTCTCTCTAAGATATATTTTTCTTTTTGTAAAACAAAATCATCACTGAAGCTTTTCTCTTTCGGTGATCAACGTTTTAAAAGATTTACTTTTCTTCGGTGATTTTTCTTATCACTGAACCTTTTCAAAAACTTTTCATATTCTTAAGTATGTTGTTTTTGAATATCTTAAACTTTTTGTTTAAAAGGAAATGGAAAATGAAACGTTTTATGACATCATTTTTATTTAAACGATATGATTTTTTTTGAGACGCGCGTACCGTTTAGACACACGTGACCCCTCAAAATTTCATCCAATCGTGGATGAGAACATGGTACTTTCTTCATCATTGCACAACTTTTAAGTCGTATTTTCCTCTCTCCTATTTCAATTTCTCTCTCCTCCAGCCTATAAATATGAGACTTCTCCTCTCATTTTTGCCTTACACTTTCAAATACTTTTGTCGAACTTCTGTCTCAAAATCATTTGCAGGCAAGAAAGAGAACTCCTAAACCCTTCAACCTTCTTCTTCTTCTAAGACTCACAGGTTGATAACTGTTCTTTCTGTTTGATATGCTCTTCTTCTAAGAAACTCATGTTAGGTTACTTAAGATCTTGTTCTCTTAAATGACCAACATAAAGATTATTAACACATTCTCTTACTTGGTTATACTCTAAAGTTTCTATACACTTACTCTTATTGAAAAACCCTAATATTTTCTTTGTGGATTTTTCAAAAGAAGTTTTATTGTTTCGAAACTTAATAACTCACAATTATATCTTGAATTTCTAACAGATCTGTTATTTCTTATTTCTTATTTATAACAAAAATGTCTGCCAAGAACGTGAACTTCTCGATTGATGATGTGTCTTTCAAGCCCAATAATCATGTGGCGTTGTTAGATATTTCGCCCAACAAATCCTACTACGAGGAAGCTGCTACATTCCTCAAGAACTCTCCTATCTCCTTCGCTATCTCCCATAAACCTATCATGGAGAAGGAAATTCTTCAGCAGTTCTGGCTTACTGCTGAAGTAGTTCATGATACTGACTGCTAAACAGGTGGAGAAAATCTCCTTCACCTTTAACAGGATGAATGTCAGTTTCGGCGTTGCCACACTAAGGACCGCCCCTATGCCAGTGAACCTTCAACTGAAGATATCATCTCCTGCTTGGATGATATTGGCTATGCCTGGCCAACAAAGAAGGATTCCAGCGATCCCCTCAAGTCGTTTTAAAAAATTGAGAAGAACCGCATGTCTGCAATATTGGCAGTTTTTGTTTTCCCATTTCATCCAATGTATGGGAGGCAAAACTGGTGGACAAAATCAAGCATCCAGAGTTGCGTTGAACATTGGCGTCTCTATCCTTCACCAAAGGCCAATCAACTTTGCTGGCGTGATCTTTGAAGACCTAGTGCTGAAGCTGAACAAGCGCTAGAGGGAGAAGGTAGTACCTTACACCAGGTTATTTTCCATGGTGTTTGCTAAAATATTTAGCAACAAGTACTCCACAGAAGAAAACTTGCCCATCTACGAGCTTGGATCCAGTATCTTGGATCATAAGATGAAAGCTGAAGACGTTGCACTCTCCTCCTTTGTGATTGTGCCTACATATACTTCTTCATCTTCTCCAATTGTGCCGGTATGTCCTTCTTCCCTTGCTCAGGTGGTCAAAACTAAAGAAAACCCCCCAACGTCTATCCCAACCACCACATCCCTCTCTTCCAAAAGATCCTCACAAACCACTCTTAGTTCTCCATTGAGGGCCAAGAAAGCCGAAAAGGGATAACCACATCTTTGGCTGTTACCTCTTAAAAGGTTCCAGCTATTGAAACTAGCCTTAACACCGGGGCACCTTCAACTTTATCTCTTCCAATATCTTCATTGATTTCTCCAGTCACTGTCATACATGTGGCTCCTATCCCAACCGCCTCAGTGACCCAAATCACTGAAGGTGTGAATATCAGCATAGCCACTACTGAACACCCACTTCCACCATTCTCAGTCATCTTCTCCTCTCCTCATTTGTCTCGACACGTGCTCATGAATCACCAGTGATTGTCCTCGCTGATAATGAAGCACCTACCACAGGACCTGAGGTTGCTCGTCTCGAAACACCACAGTTAATGGAAGCTTATCCTCTCGAAGGAAACCTGGAGAGAACCAGCATCAATCCTTCAGATTGTGCTGATGAACCCTCAGGTAATCTTCCAACCTACCCTTTAATTTATTCTATCCCCGAGCTATCTTATGCTTAACCATCTTCTTTTTCAAGTCCTTGCAATGTAGGAACGTCAGCCATGAAAGAAGAAAATAGCATGGCTGATGACGTGAAGCTGCTACTCCCGGCCGTAGAGACTGTCTTAATCGAAATTGTTGAAGTCCATAAAGGCATGGCTCTCAGGGATGATGTTTCCTATGACCTCTCAACTGTCAAAGCTGATGTCAATCATGTGAAGGAACAACCTTCTATGGTGCAAGCCGTTGTACGCACCAACGCTGAGGCTATATTTGCTCTCAATAACAAAGCCGATGAAGCGAATGCTCAGGTTGCCAAACATGGTGAGTTGTTGCAGCAAATACTGGAACTTCTTCAACGTCCAGTACCAGTTTCTACACCCTCCTTCACAACAATGGATCGCCTCTCGCTGGATCAGACTCTCGAAGTCAGTCTTCTTCAAGCTTAATTGCTGAACATGCTTTAGTAGTGAATGGACATAATAGAATTGAGTCTTGATAACCTCTTCTCTAGTTATGTTGATGACAAAGATGGGGAGAAAGACTTTACTACTGCTGCTGTTGTCCCTACAACACAAGGTGAAGCTGATGCTCAAAGAGCTGAAACTAATGAAGTAGAGGTTGTTGATGATGCCATCACTACCCATGAAGCTGAAGTTGAGGTTGTTGATGATGCTGTCAGAGCTGATGCTGAAGCTCATGATGAAGACCTTCCTATCACCCCTGCAGCTGATGATGGTGATGAGGAAGATGAAGGTGAAGATGACTTTCCATCCCTTCCTGATGCTGGAAAGGATCTCGGTGGTGATAATGGTGAAGACGACGATGATGACGACTTTACGATTCAGTACCACAAACCTGCCAGCGCTCTAAAAGGAGTCTCTCTCAGGGATTCTTCATCCAGGAGGAGAAAGAGAAAGAAAAAGAGAAGGAGACTTCCACAAAGAACCAGAACACCGCCTCAAAAGACAAAGGTGTTGCTGAAGAAGGAAATCTCAAAGTTCTCTTCAAACCTGTCGTACCTCAAAATATTGAATCCTCCAGGTTTGCAATAGTCACTTCCTTTTGTCAACTCTCTTCTTCTATCCCTTCTACTACCTTTGATCGTCTAGAGGAATGGGTACCTGAAAACCCAACCTCCAGTGTTCCTAGCGACCAACAGATGACTCAGCTTAAGGAGTCACTCGACCAAACTAGCGTAAAAATTCCTATTTGTACCTCTAGTTGTGGTGAGTTTGACTTCCTTACTGCAACTGAAAGACTCGAAGCATTCAAGGATAAGGAAGAACTCAATCTTCAATGACAACAGACTGAGGACAGCCTAAAGCTGGCCAAGTCTCTTGCTGCTCAAGTTCTTCCAAAGAAATCGTCTAAAAAGATGGTGAACGTTGTCAAGGCCTAAGCTAAGTTGCTTTCAGTTGTAGAAGCTGAACATGAAAAGGCAATGAAGCTGAACGACCGAGATAGAAAATGGAATGAAGATTGTCTTAATTAGAGAATAAGTCCTCAACGCATCTCAAAGATCATAATCAACGGACGAATGAAAGATGGTGGACTTCTCATCTCCATGCTCATCACTAGAGACAACCTTGAAGCTGTCACAGAGTATCCTTCCTACCTTGGACAATACGGCTACAGTGAATGGATGGAAATCTGGCAAGCTATTCAACGCTCAAAGTCAAGGCACAAGCCAATAACTGAAGACATCCTCAGCGAGCTGATCAAGAAGATGTCTAAGTTTGTTGTAGTACCTAATAAGCCGACATTGAGGAAAGGTGGAAGAAGAAAACCTTCAGATCCTAACGATGGACCAACTCTAAGGAACGAACATGAAACAAAGTTCTCCCTGGAGGAAGTCCTGAAGGATTCAAAGAAGCCAGACATCTTTATGCTGAACCTCTCCTTGCCAGCGAAATATCCTTTCATACCCAACATTGTGCATATAAAGCTTGAGTTTAGATTTATATTTCTTGACTATGAAGGTGAACACAACTTTCAGAAAGTGTATGAGTTTGGTCTTTGTCCTATAGAACATCTTGATTATCTAAGATATTGGTTGGACAATGATCTTTACGGTGAAATGATAGACCGCAAGATCAGAAAAGAATTTCTACGTCAAAGATGCTTGGAGAAGAAGTACCTGGTTACATCGACTTCAGCGACTTAGATTAGTTGTAAATTTATGTCTTGTAAATTTTATCTTTCATTGTAAGTCTTATTTTTCTATGTCTTTTCTTTCAATGTACAACTTATATGTAATAAGTCTAGAATGTACTGACTGAAACACTTGTAATTCTCCTTTGATTAATATAAGGATTTCATCAGCATCACTGAAAAATATCCCTAAAAAGAGTAATATGGACACATGTCTATGAGTTCCAGTATGCTCTTACAGTTACTGACAATCTTCAGTCAGTGAACATGCTTTCAGTTTCAGTTTCCCCTCATGTACTTTTTCTTAACTTGTAACTTAAGAAAACTTATATAGTAAAAACTGCATCACTGAAAAAGATCCCAAAATAGTTAAAAGGGACATGTACTTTATATGTAACTTTTCATAACTGTTAAACCTTAAGGAAATTTTATTTATGTTGCTTTGTCATCATCAAATAGGAGGTGATTGTTGATCCTCTCTCTCATTGATTTGATGATAATCCTTTTTACCTTTCGAAGTATTATTGTTTCTGTCTTTTTAGCTCCAGCGATCATCACTGAGTCTGTTCAGTGATCGTTGAAACAAGCATTATAATCCTACAACGATAGCGATACTTCAAGAAGACAAAACTCTCTCCCAAGAACCTTCAGTGAATGTAGAAGACTGAAACTGAAGATTAGCAACTGGTGCGTTCATGATCTGAAGCGGTATTCAGTGATTACAACCTGGTCAACATATGTGTGAAGACTGCACAAGCCTCAATGAATGCTGAAGAGACCTCCAGCGTTATTCCTACATTCAGCGATAAAATGAAGCTTGTCATGCACGATTGTTTTTTTCTTGTCCTTCCACACAAAAAGAACAACCCATACCCTCTAGTGCCCACCAACTCCATGAAAGGATGTCTGCTCATGAATAGACAATAGTACTATTCACTGTTGCAAAGGACAAGCTTTCTTCTTAAAGCTTGACGTGTGTTCTAACCCTTCTGATTTGCATTGAATACAATTGGTATAAATAGGTGAGTGATCTCTTCATGCACTATATCATTCTACAACACACAAAAGAATACATACACTTATCTTCAAGCAAGTTAGAATTTCTCTCAAAAATTCTAAAGTTCTTACCTAAGAAGAACATCTTTCTGTCTTTATCTTTTCGAAAAATTTCTTATATTTGCTAAGTACATTTGTGTGTAATCTTAGATTGTTTTAGATAGGTTATCTTTACCTTTTCTATTTCCGCAAACAATCTGTAAAAATATGTATTGATCCTTCTATGTCAATATATATTTTCAATTATGAAAGTTTTATGTGTTTGTATTCATCCCTCCTCTTCTACAAATTGTTCCTCTAAACTCTTGTAAACCTGGTTGGGACCAACAGTCTATAAACGATTACCCGTATTGCATCATAACCCTTTGGTGTTCTTGGCAGCTTCATCACAAAGTCCATTGTGATGTGGTCCCATTTCCAAATCGGGATTTCCAAAAGTTGTAGTTGGCCATACGGTCATTGATGTTCAGATTTTACTTGCAAGCATGTCAAACACCTTTTGATATAATGGGGTATGTCTTTCTTCATCCATGGCCACCAGTATGATTGACGAAGATCTCAATACATTTTATTGTTACTCGGGTGTATAGAATATCGAGATTTATGGGCTTTGTCTAACACTTGGTTACTAAAGTTCCCTAAGCGAGGAATCCATATTCTACCCTTGTAGCACTTTAACCCTTGATTGTTAACTTCAAGGTATGGAACAATACCTACCATTCTCTCCCCCTTCTACTAAAGCTTCTTCTTGGATTTTCTTGAGTTTATCAGTCCAACTAGGAGTAACCTTTATTCGCCCTACCTTAATCCTCACCTGATCTCTCCTCTCTTTGCAATAATGCATCGGCCACACATTCGACTTTCCTGGATGATACAAAATTTCACAGTCATAATCTTTCAACAGCTCCATCCACCTTTGTTGTCTCGTATTTAGTTATTTATGATCGAACAAGTACTTTAGGCTCTTAAAATCAGTATAAATTTGACATTTCACCCCATATAAGTAGTGCCTCTAGATTTTTAATACAAAAACCACAACTGCCAATTCCAAGTCGTGAGTTGGATATCCTTCTCGTGTCCCTTCAATTGAGGAGAGACATACACAATAACTTTTCCTTGTTGCATTAGTACACAACCAAAGTTTGGAAGCATCACAGTACACTACAAACCCTTCGGTTTCTTCTGGTAAAGTCAATATCAGTGCAGTGTTAAGCTTTTCCTTCAAGATTCTAAATACCTCTTCTTCTGTTGGTTTCCATTCAAACTTCACGTCTTTCTTTGTTAGCGATGTCAATGGCGTCGCTATCCATAAGAAGTCATGAATGAACCTTCGATAATAACCAACTAATCCCAAGAAACTTTGTACCTCATATGGGGTCTTTGGTGGCTCCACCTCTTTATAGCATCTACCTTTGTCAGATCTACTTTTAGTCCTTCTTGGGTCACGACATGTCCTAGAAATTGAACTTCTCGAAGCTAGAACTCACACTTAGAAAAATTTGCATAGAATTTTTCCTATTTTAGAAAACTCAAAACCTCCTGAAGATGTTGCTCATGCTCATACTCGGTGTGTGAATAAATCAAAATATCGTCAATGAAAACAATGACAAACTTGTCTAAGTAGGGCTTGCATACCCTATTCATCAGGTCCATGAAGGCTGCGGGTGCATTTGTCAACCCAAAGGGAATTACAAGAAATTCATAATGCCCATACCTAGTTCTAAAAGCTGTCTTAAGCATGTCCTCCTCTCGAACCTTTAGTTGATGGTAACCCGATCGCCGATCAATCTTTGAGAAATAACTGGTACCTTGAAGTTGATCAAAAGGATCACCAATCCTTGGAAGAGAGTACCTGTTCTTTATAGTTACTTTGTTAAGCTCGCAGTAGTCGATGCACATTCGAATTGTACCATCCTTTTTCTTAACGAATAACAATGGTGCTCTCCAGGGTGAGGTACTAGGGCATATAAAACCCTTGTACAAAAACTTTTGCAACTAAGACATCAACTCCTTCATTTCTGATGATGCTAAATGATAGGGTGTCCGAGCAATAGGTGCTGCTCTAGGTACTAAATCAATCTGAAATTATACTTGTCTCTCTGGTGTTAGACTTGTCATATCATCCAGAAAGACTTCAGGATACCCTCAAACAACGGGAATGTCTTCCATACTTTTTTTTTCTTAGAATCTACACATATGCCAAATAACTCTAATACCCCTTTCTTACACATCGTCTTGCTTTTGCCAAAGAGATCATGCTAGATTTTTTATTTCTTCTATCTCCATATATAACAATGGTTCATTCAATCTGAATTATCTTTTTGTTACACATTATTCTTGCTTGGTTTTGGCCAACCAACCTATTCCAATTATTATATAAAATTCCCCAAGGGTCATAGGAAGTAGTTTTAATGGAATCGAATGACCGTCTATTTGAATATTGCAGTCATCATATTCCTCTCTAATCGTCACTCAATTATCATTGACAGTCTCTACTTCTATGACCGAGCTTAAAGGCTTCGGCACTCTATGCAAGTAATCACAGAATGTAGTATATATAAAAGAGCGGTTTGCACCAGAATCAAATAGTACTCTAGCATGCACAGAGTTAACCAGAAAGGTACCTGTCACCACGTC